TCCGATCACAGTAGAAAATAAGAAAACGGTGGAAAGAAAAAATAATTTTCCAGCTGGGTTCAAAACTAAGGAGCATTAAAGAAAGCTTTAACAATATTGTACACCATAGGGCCATTAAAAGAGGTCAATTCTAATTGAAATAAACGATTTAATTTTATGCTTTTTTGGGCTGATTACTATTTGAGGTGGTGGAGATTACCAATTGAGGAGCGCGCTTGCCGCAACACAGATTTGGGTGGCGGTGATTACTATTTGAGCAACTCTGGACTCCCTCCCTCCTTCAACTCCTGAAACCCGTGCCCATTTTCTATAAAAATAAATTTTAAAAAACGACGACTTTCAAGTCTCTGAAAAGGAAGATATATTTTTAAAAATCTCAATATTTTTACTAAATCATAAAAATATATAAACAAAAATAATCAAACCATGAAAAATAAAAAGAATAAAAAATATTAGTCTACAAATTTACCCCCCCTCCTTCTCTGAGTCACATGAGAAAGCTAGAAGCCGGGGCTACCCACCTTTTCAGTCGCCATATTGGATAATCCCATATTGACAGATTTCGTCGAATATCTTCGTGGATTTCAAGGATTAAGAACGTCAACACGACCCCATCTCTCAGTACTGTTATATAAGGTGAAAAGTAAGATATTGTTTAGTTAAAAAGGTTTAAAAAGTGCCCGGTTAACAACTTCTTGTGGTAAATTGTGACGAAATCTTAATTTGTTATTTTTGTGAGATCTCAGTGTTTATAATCAATTGTGAATCTGATATTGGTGACATAAAGTGGTTGACAAAGATTTCTTCTCATAAGTTTAAATTATTGAAAAATGTTTAACTAATGAAAATATACTTAAATTAAAATGATCGGATAATGAAACTATAGTGGGTGAATTCAATATTTATCAATAATGGGTTCCACGACGCACAATTGTGACGCATTTTCTGTGATTTTAAGTGCTGGCCATAGTTTTTATATATTTAGATTGGCCGCCGACAAATGTGACAGAGCCGGCGTAGGTTAACCCGGAGTTTATTCTACTTTTAGGTGATAGATAGATAGATATACACAGGATGGGGGATAGAAGACGTTCACCGATGCGTGGCCCCCCTAGGGGAGGGCGCGCCCCCCCTGAACGTGCAGGTTATAAAGTTCTGTGCGTTAGCTCTCTTCACCCGAAGGCCAGTGACGATGTTGTGAGAGACACGCTGTACAGAGAGTACAAGAAGTATGGGGATATTAGTGTCCGTGTAATGCACGAGCCCGACGAACGAGTCGCGTATGTTTATTTTAGAAACTTTGAAGACGCGCGAGACGCGAAGCACAGTAAGTCCCGGATTATATTGTTTGATAAGCCCGCGATTGTTGAAGCAGTGTATGAAAGCGCTAGCAAAGAAGAATATGAATCGCGTGGACGACCCCATAGCATCAGCCCGCCGCGCTACAGAGACCTCGGCGGTTATGGTCGTCCAAGATCACCCGATCGTTACCGTGATGATGGATATAGAGACGATTGGGACCGTCGTGGTCCACCATCAAGAGGCCCCCCTCGTAGAGACGATTACCGTCCTCCGCCTCGTGGCGGACACTACCGTGACGACTACCGTGGCGGAGGCCATCGTGGTCCACCTCGCGGCGGATACCATGAACCAGGCTATGGTGGATCTATTGTCCAGCGACGTGAAAATAAAAAAGATAAATTCCCAAATTATCTCGACCATCTGATGCCTGAGGACGATCCCCTGGCAACACGAACCTTGTTCACCGGCAACCTCGAGCTAAACATAACCGACGAAGAGATGAAGAGGATATTCGGCCGCTACGGCGAACTCGTGGATATTGATATTAAACGGCCACCGCCTGGAACTGGCAACGCCTACGCCTTCATAAGATTCGCCAACCTTGACCAAGCTGCACTGGCAAAACGTGAGCTCTCAGGACAGTATATTGGCAAATTCCAGTGCAAGATCGGTTACGGGAAAGTAAACGCTACAACGAAGGTGAATAGTAGGTTAAAGGCACTGAAAGCGTAATTTCAAGTGAACCACCATGCAAATATTGCAATGCCCGACTCACAACAGAACCCTTGAAACATTTATCTAATGTTTTCAGATCTTATAATTTGTATTAATTTTCCTGTTTAGAAATATGCAAGTCACTCTGTTGAGAAATCATAATTAAAAACAGTTTTTAAAATTATTAAAATTGAAATCTATTTCATAGTTAACCAAACAGAACTTTTAAGGGTACCGTTGTGAATCGGGCATTGTCATATTTGCATGAAAGTCCACTTAAAATTACACATTTGGTTAAATCAAACAAAAATACCCCTCCTCAACTTAAATAAACCAATATATCAAACAAAACCTGCAAAAAAAATACTTAATACTCGCATATTTTCTCGAAATATAATTTTCTTCCTCCCTCCCCTTTTTCTACCGACAAATTATATGTGTTCAAAAGAAATGTAAATTCTGCGCTGAATTTGGAAAAGGATGTTTGTTAACTTTTGGGTAAAAAAATAAGCAAAGGAATGAACGCACTTTCCTTTTGATGTCCAATTTTTCATTTTATCCTCCCAAAACAGCAATAATACACGCCCCAGGGGGTAGAGAGGGGGTTACTCAAAAAATATATACCCATTACTCTCATCGCAATTATTAAGAAAATACGAAAAAAAAACTTCTTTAAATGTTCAAAACAATTCATTTCTTCAAAAAAATCACTAAATCTTTGAGAAATGTTTATCTGGGTTTGGATGTATATATATCTGCATTAAAATATCATTTTTAACTTGTTTTTAAAACAATTCATTGTATACTTTCCTCTAAATATATTATGATAATAATAGCAACAAGGATGATTTTTCAGAGACCTGTACAGAATTTTAACCGTCTGTTCCTTTATATTCATATAAGCTACTGAAAACTTATATCTTCCTTTTGTCAAATCATTGAAAAAAGCCATAAAGTCGTCTCTACTGTCTCATCTTCTGTGGGTAACCCTGTATTTAAGTTTTTTATTTCGATACCTCGCTAAAAATTCCTTTATTCTGTAGGTTTGGGTTGGAGGATTAGACTCTTGGGCCTCCCTAGGAATGCTGGAAAGAGAATTCGATAGGTAAAGTTTTTAAAAGTCTACTATTTTTTCTGTCTGAAATTTTCAAAATGGCTCTTAATTTTTTAAAGAAAAAAAACGTTAGCACAGCTTTTAATTTGGATGGTTGGAACGTAATACGCTACAGTTGCGTCAACAATTTGGGAATATTAATTTTTTTTTTTCGCGGGGAAATCGATGCAAAAACCAAATCTAATTATATTTGGGAAGCAATCAGATTTTTGATTTTAAACAAATTTTATTATTGTCACTCGGTTTGTAATAAGGGATTCACAAGTAAACAAAGGGGATTGAAACTTATTTCAGTAATTATTTCAATTTTCCTGGCTGAAGAAAATATTTTTTTATTTCTTTCAAACATTATATTAAACTTTATAAACTTGATTTCATTGAAATGTCACATTTGTTGAAATGACCCCCCTCCCCCCGACTAAAGAGTAGTTTGTCGTATTCTGGACTATTCTATTAAAAGTTTGATCTTAGTAGCTATTTTTCAAGATGCTTGTTTCATTTTTATCCAGAAATTATGCTTGCCGTCCATTTCTTCCTAGTCTTTGACCGATCAACCCGCTAGTCATATATTGAGATTTTTTATTCGATTTTTATTCTATAGAAAACCAATTCCTTTCTTGTCTCTGATAGATAAATCCGCTAGTCACACATTGAGATTTTTTATTCGATTTTCATTCTATAGAAAATCAATGTTGGTCAAAACTTTAATAAGGGAACCAAGCCAGTAATTTTGTAAACATTGATGGAATTTTAATCCATTATATCCATCCCATCCTCATTTAAATTATTCTATTTTTCTTGATAGTCTTTTACTAATAACTAGCTGAAAGACCCGGCGTTGCCCGTGGAAAAAATAATTATTTTAAAGAAAATCAAACTTTTTTTAGCCTTTAAGACCCCCCCCCCCCCCACACACACAAATTTTTAGCCCAATCGGCCCAGCGGTTTGGCCGGCTATACGCAACATATAAATGTACAAATGTCTTGTTTTATTATATAGATAATATTAATAACTTATCTAGGTTTGGCGCAATACAGAAGATAGACTACAAGCCTGGAGACTCTGAAGCATTCATTCAGTATGAAAGCATTGATGCTGCACAGGTATAGTTCGAGTTTAATGTCTTAAATGGACTGTAGAGAAAACTTTAAGTAACCCTCTATAGACTGGCATGATCGATTAACAAAGATACCCTTGAAACCGTTATCTGATCTATAGCCTGGCAGATTTTCTCGTTTTCTTGGATATTAAGTTTTTAATTCTGAAGTTGCTGTTTTCCTGTAGTAGAAATTTGCAAGTCACTTTTGTACTGTAGAGAACCCATAATGGTGTATTGATAATTATCTTTTTAAATTATTAACATTTTTATCTAATTCATTCTTAATTGGACATATCTTTTAAGGGCACCATTGTGAATCAGACATTGCCATCCTTTTATGCAGTGCTTAGGATCCTCCGAAAGATTTTGGCTTCCTGGATCCGGATCCGTAAAAATATGAGGATCCACGGATCCGAATCCAAGGGGCAAAAAAAAAAAAAAACTGAAGAAAAAATTTACTCTCAAAACCCAAATCTGAACTATTGTAAAAAGAGAGATAAAAAAAAATCCTCATTTCTGAATGGTTAATCAAGTTTTAGCATAAAAATAAGCGAAAAAAATGAGACAAAAAATTTTAAAATTTTGCTTTGTTAAAAAGTTCAGTAAATTTGAAAGAAATAACCTGGACCTGGATCTGGATCCGGATCCGGATTAAAATTGAATGGATCCTAAGCACTGCTCTTATGGAGGGTCACTTGAAATTGTATTTATGAAATGGTATGTTTGGTTCACAACGGTACCCTTAGTATCTTTAATCTATGATATGAAATACATTGTCGTGTTTTAATTTTAATTTTATTCTGTAAATTCCTACATGTTTTTCTGCAGTAGAATTTCGCAAGTTGCTTGTGTAGAGAAACCAAAATGTTAAAATATCATTTTTCAAAATTCATACTTTATCATACAAAGCTTTCAAGCAGTGCTTAGGATCCGGATCCGTTGGATCCGCAAGATTTTGGCTTCCTGGATCCGGATCCGCAAAAATATGCAAAGCACCGGATCCAAGGGGTAAAATATCAACCAAAAACTGCAAAAAAAGACTTTTACTCCTGAACCCCAAATCTGAACTTTTGAAGAAAGAGAGATTATAAAAATGTCCTCATTTCTGAATGTTTTATAAAGTTTTAGGATAAAAATAAGCGAAAAAAAATAAAACAAAAAATTTGAAAATTATTTTTTGTTAAAAATTTCAGTAAATCTTTTAGAAATGACCTGGATCCGGATCCATTTTTTTTCCAGTGCGGAGCCAGGATTCGGATCCGCATCAAAATTAAATGGACCCAAAGCACTGCTTTCAAGGGTACCATTGTAAATCGGACATTGCAATGTTGCACATATTGTCACTTAAAACTTTTTTAAAGTAACCCTCCATTTATAGAGTAGAATGTTCGATTGAATACAGTACTCATCAAACCTTTGTCAGATCCTTGACGGGAAATAAATTCGGGGTTTTCTGTCTGATGGATAGTTTTAAACTGTGGGTTTTCTGTCTGATGGATAGTTTTAAAATGTGGGTTTTCTGTCTGATGGATAGTTCTAAAATGTGGGTTTTCTGTCTGATGGATAGTTTTAAAATGTGGTTTTTTGTCTGATGGATAGTTTTAAAATGTGGGTTTTCTGTCTGATGGATAGTTTTAAAATGTGGGTTTTCTGTCTTATGGATAGTTTTAACATTTGGGTTTTCTGTCTGATGGATAGTTTAAAAATGTGGGTTTTCTGTCTGATGAATAGTTTTAAAATGTGGGTTTTCTGTCTGATAGATAGTTTTAAATTGTGGGTTTTCTGTCTGATGGATAGTTTTAAAATGTGGGTTTTCTGTCTGATGGTTAGTTTTAAAATGTAGGTTTTCTGACTAATGGATAGTTTTAAATTGTGGGTTTTCTGTCTGATGGATAGTTTTAAATTGTGGGTTTTCTGTCTGATGGATAGTTTTAAAATGTGGGTTTTCTGTCTGATGGATAGTTTTAAAATGTGGGTTTTCTGTCGGAGTTATGCAGTTTAAAAATATAAATTTCAACGCTCTTTTAGACTGAAACCCACGGTAACTTGATTAGTATTTAAAGGAAACGTAAAAGTTCGTCCAAAGTTCCATTAAAACTGAGAATTTAAAAACATTCCGAGTGCAAAAGAAATTCAGGTGGATAGAGTTTTTATCTTTTTTAATCTGCAGATTATTTTTGCGCCCCTTTTTTCCAGGGGGGTCGGACGTCCCAACTCTCCCCTTAAAGCTGCCACTGATCCAATCTTAAAGTTTCGAGCTTTAGCTCTGAAACAATTACTGTGGCCATGTTTGTATAAATTGTAGAAACATAACTGATAAAAATGTTTTTTTACTTAATTATTTTGCTAAGCAGAATTTTAACAGTCGTCCAATTTAAATTTATTATTATGTGTTTTATTAAAAGGATGTGGGTCATATGAGGTGCCACACAAAATTTAGGCTCGATCGGTTCAGCCGTTTTGACTTTTGGATACAAACAGACAGACAAAAGTATAGTTTTTAATTCATTTTAATATTTTTAAGGCTGCAGTGAACGAGATGCGTGGGTTTGCGCTGGGAGGATCAGATAAGAGAATAAGGCATGAGTCCATAAACTTTTTTATGTACATTGGGATGGGGGGNGGGGGGTAATTCTATTTGAAATTAGTTCCCCTACCTTTTTTTTATATAGTTCAATGGCGGTGGTGTTTTATTCACTAAATTGTTCCACAATTTTTAGACTTATATTTTTTAATTGTTTTAACATATGTTAAAAAAAAAAAAAAATAAGAATGATGACTATTAAGGACAATTTCTAAGCTTTAAGCAATGTTTATACATACTTTCTTCACATAAAAATGGTATTCAACTGATATTAGATATGTTTTATTCGCTCAATTGGAGAAATTAAATAATTAATAATTAAACATAAAGGATGGGAAAAAACTTGCCTTTTAATGATATTTAGATTTTTTCCAAGCATTCTGAACATGTTTTTGATAGTTTTGTTATTTTTTTCATAAAAAATATGGACTCTTGTGTTAGGATGGATTTTGCCGATGTTGATAATATGCCTCCTCCTCGGGGTTATCAGGGATCTGACTACGATCCAGCGATCGCCAGGCACTTTGATCATCCGTTGACTAGCGGTTTAACGATCGCAGTCCTACTTTTCTTTTTTGTAGATGTATAAAAACTGTATTATTGGTATTTTTTAAAATCTTTTTTAAATGATATTTCAAGATAAGTGTAAGGAAGATTAGTTTATTGATTTTTGGTCACAGACATTGAGCTAGGGCGGAGTTTTGATGTTTTGTCCTTGTTTAAAGTAATTGATGGTCTTTAATCCATTTTTGCCTAAGCTCTTAATTTTGCTGTACTCTCTCTCTCTCTACTCGTCCAAGATTGATCATCTGATCTTGTTACTGGGGACTTTTAATTGATGTTTATTTATCTCGACGNAAGATCAATAATAAAAAAAGAATTTTTGTGTTAACTTTTTGTTAAACATGAAATTTTCAAATTTTTTATGTCGCCACACCGCGACAAGTAGGACAGCGACCATGGTCGCAAATGATCAGCGGGGTCCCGAGGGTAAGCCGAGGCCGCGGTGGTCGAGGAGGATTTGTCCGCGGAGCCGGAGGGCGAGGAGATTTTAACGGCGGAGCCGGTCGTGGATTTGACGAGTGGGGGAAGCGTCCAGGAGATGATTTGGATGGACCACCGAGTAGAATGAGGAAAATGGATTCTAGCAGGTTCGTTTTTAAATAATATCCCCACTGCTCTAGAATAATATTTCCCTCAGATGTAAATATAGGGGGGGGGGGGAAAATTTGGTGAGAAGTATCATAACGGATATCAAAAAGCTTGCCTTAGTTTGTTTCTACCCACGGCCACAGCATCAAAATCTACCCTTTCGGTAATTCTTGAAAATAAACACCCCTGGAATTATGATGAACACCAGGCTTTCACTGAATTTTTAATGCTGCTGCTTTCCAAGCCAACTTTTGAACTTTTTTTGCTGTGTAGTGCGAAAGTTTGGTTCCAATTTGAAGCAGATGTAGCCGAATTTTTTAAATTATACCGGGGATCGAGATTCATTGATTTTCTATTTTCTTTGGAAAATTTTTGTCCTTGTTTGGATCCACCTGATATGGTGGCAGTGCTAAGGATCTGGATCCGCAAGAATATGAGGATCTGGACCCAAGGAGCAAAATATTAAACAATAACTGGTAAAAAAAAACCTTCATGCGCTCAACCCCTGAACTGTTGTTATAAGGAAGATAACACTAAATTTCCTTATTTTTGAAGAAATAAAATTTCTTTATAAAATCTTTTAATCTCAAAGAAATGGTTGTGATCTGGATCCGGATCCATTTTTATCAAGAGCAGGTCCAGGATCCGGATCCGCATCAAAATAAAATGGATTCTGTTTTGCCGATTTTGATCTTATGCAACTGTTTAAAGAAAATGAGTTTTTGCCGCAAACTATAATTTTTAATTACTTAAATATTTGAAACCCGTTTTCATTTCAAACTATGAATTCTGTTATTTGAACTATCAAAGGTTAGCATACCATCAGATTGCAAAGATATTGAGATAAATGAGAAAATTTGAGTTTGTTGCAAAAATTCAGTTCCTTGAGTTTAAATTAATTACTTCAAATATTCAGATCTTCTCAAAGCAGTGTTTAGAATCCGGATAATCAGAGCAAAAAATAGTATATTTTGTTCTATAAATACCAGTGCTTAGGATTTGGATCCGGATCCGTTGGATCCGCAAGATTTTGGCTTCCTGGATCTGGATCCGCATAAATATGCGAATCCAAGGAGCAAAATATTAACCAAAAACTGGAACAAAAAAAATTTACTCTTAACTCAAATTTGAACTATTGAAAAAGAGAGTTCATACAAATTTTCTGATTTTGAATATTTCATAAGGTTTTAGCATAAAATAAGGGAAACAAATTAAGACAACAAATTCTGCTTTGGTTAAAAAATTCAGTAAATTTTAAAGAAATAACCTGGATCCGGATTTGGATTCAGATCCAGATTATTTTTTTTTCCAGAGCGGATCCAGGATCCGGATCCGCATCAAAACTAAATGGATCTTCAGCACTGTAAAATACCAAATAATTAAGTTTCACTAGCAGCAAAAAAGTTTTTATAAACATCAAAATTTCTTTCTTCTGTGTCAAGAAATATTAAAAGCTAAAAAAAGTCGGATCAAAGATCATAATGGAATTGCCTTAGTTTGATCAAGTTTGAATGAGATATTAATGTTTATAATTTTAAAAACTGATAATTTTCAACTGAAGTTTCTCTACATAGTGAATCGCTCAGTTTTACTGCAAGAAAACATGTAAAGGACTTCTCAGAAGAAAACTTTCCCAAACCTAGAGAAACCAGAGAAAATTTTACTCATTACTGATGAGATAAAGGTTTTAAGGATACCGTTGTGTAACGGTTGTCGCTATATTTGCACTGAGAGTCGCTTAGGCATACAGTCCCTTTAAATTATATTATTTTTCCTATTTAGATCTCCTGACATTGACGAGAACGGTATGAGGCGCGGGGACGGACCCAGCGGCGCTAAGGAACTAAAACCTGTCAAATTGTTGGTTGATTGATTGGTTTCTTTATGGTTGGTCTAATATATGGATTTATTGATGGTTAATTGATTTCTTTATGGTTGGTCTAATATGTAGATTTATTGATGATTAGTTGATTGCTTTATGGTTGTTCTAACATGTGAATTGGTTGATGATTGATTAATTTCTTTATGGTTTTTTTATTAGCCTGATACATTTTTTTAATGATTCATTATTTTATAATTTTTCTGATAAGTCCCTTAAATGTCAATTGAGAACTATAAACGATCTAATATGATGTGGGACACCCTGTCTAGTTTATATTATTAGTTATACATACACCTGGGCTCCTTCCCCTCCCCCCCCACTCACCTCTCATGTCGATACTGTAAATTATTGTTTCGACATAGATTGAGTGTAAACAGATCGCTAAACCAGTTTTTAGACACCGAAACCGAGTTCATGAGTGTATTCCAGATGGAATAAATAACTTCTCTTATGGGTTTAGGTTAAAAAATGTTATTTTCCTGTTTATTGGTGGATTTTAGAATACTATTACTAACTAATCTTAATCGTTCAATGTTTTTCCAGATTTTTAGATTATTTTTCCTTGATGTGATATTGAATATCAAGGAACATTATTGAATGATATCTTGCCTGATTGGTTTATTGAATGATTGGTTGACCGATTTGCGTCGGTATCTAAAAGTATAATAGATCAAAACTTATTGAGATTGATTGATTGATTGATTGATTGATTGATTGATTGATTGATTGATTGATTGATTGATTGACCGGTTTTTGTCGGTATCTAGAGTATAACAGATCTAACTAAGCGTATAGAGAAAGTGTGGGAGGGAGGACTGATCCTAAAGAATTCTCTGTTCCCTACTAAACTGCTGATAACGGAAGGAGATATCGATGTTGTGGACCAACTTATGAAGGTGAGCTCCTCCTGTTCTCCACCCCTCTTAGAAAGGGGCCGGGGTGCAGGGACGCCATGAGCCCGCAAAATGGTCTCGAAGTATCTGAATTCGCAAATGAATATTAAAAATGACCTAGCGCTACCTTTAGAATGAATATTATAATAGATATGTATTAAACAAAAATTGGAACACTTATTTGATATTTTAATAGTTATGCATTTTTTGGATATTTAAGAAAACGCTTTAATATTTATTTATTCTAAAATTTACGAATAGCGCCAGGTCCGAATACGGGGCTTGGAGACCATTTTGCGGGGCTCAATGCGACCCTGTACCCCCCCTCCCTATACCACCCCGTCTTAGTCCATGTGCACATATCCCCCCCCCCCCTCTCCTGATTCTAAAATTAGTTTTCTAACACCAGTTTTTGATAATTTTTTGCTGCAATAGAAACACATTGGGGTTAATAAATAAGTTTGACCTATTTCTCCCTTAATATCTATTTACCAGAATAGTAATGTATAAACATGGTGTCCCATATCATATAAGATCGTCAATGCGTCTGAATTACGGTTTTCGGGACAAATCAGAAAAAAAGAAGATTAAATCATTTTGTAAAATTAAATAAGACTTAAATGAAAATTTTCTTCTAGAAAATGCTAGGTTTTTAGATTATTATGTATTTATTTTGGCGTTAAAGCTTGGAGATAATCTAATATGATACGGGACGCTCTGTATACCCCTGTCCTAACTTATAAGAATGTTAGTTTACAGATTTCGTTAGAGCTATAAGTTTTATTAAACAAACATTTTCTCTCGGATTTTAACTTTTTTTCGCTACATTTTTCTTGCAAACTTGAGGAGCTAACAAACATGTTGGCTTAATCTTTAACTTGAGGGAGCTAACAAACATGTTGGCTTTATCTTTAACTTGAGGGAGCTAACTAACATGTTAGCTTAATCTTTAACTTGAGGGAGCTAACAAACATGTTGGCTTAATCTTTATCTTGAGGGAGCTAACAAACATGTTGGCTTAATCTTTATCTTGAGGGAGCTAACAAACATGTTGGCTTTATCTTTAACTTTTTAACTTGAGGGAGCTAACTAACATGTTGGCTTAATCTTTAACTTGAGGGAGCTAACAAACATGTTGGCTTAATCTTTAACTTGAGGGAGCTAACAAACATGTTGGCTTTATCTTTAACTTGAGGGAGCTATCAAACATGTTGGCTTAATCTTACTTGAGGGAGCTAACAAACATGTTGGCTTTATCTTACTTGAGGGAGCTAACAAACATGTTGGCTTTATCTTACTTGAGGGAGCTAACAAATGTTAGCTTAATCTTTAACTTGAGGGAGCTAACAAACATGTTGGCTTTAATCTTACTTGAGGGAGCTAACAAACATGTTGGCTTTATCTTACTTGAGGGAGCTAACAAACATGTTGGCTTTATCTTACTTGAGGGAGCTAACAAACATGTTGGCTTTGTAATATATTTAAATATACACCACTGCTTACTTTGCCATAGCGATATTTTCTAAAATGATTCCCTCCAGGTTGTTTTTTAATCTAATCCTTAAGTGCTTAGGGTCCGGATTCGCAAGATTTTGGTTTCTTTGATCCGGATCCGCAAAACTATGCGGATCCACGGATCCGGATCTAAGGGGCAACATATCGAAAAACTTGTTAACCCAAACCCAAATCTGAACTGTTGAAAAAAAAGATAATACAAATTTCATGATCTCTGAATGGTTCATCAAGTTGTATTATAAAAATAAGCGAAAAATAATTTGACAATTCTGCTTTGTAAAAAAATAAATCAGTAAATCTGAAAGAAATGTTCATGACCTGGATGCGGATCCAGGATCCGGATCTGTATCAAAATTATGCAATGTAACCCTTATTCTAGGACGAGGCTGGTCGACCTCACCTGAAGATCACCCAGAGGCTGCGGCTAGATCAGACCAAACTGGAGGATGTATCGAAACGTATTTCAAGTTCCAGTTCTCACGCCATTTTCCTAGCCCTAGCTCTTAGTAGTACACAGGTTCCACTAGCAGATACACCAGACGTTAACTCCAGACCTCTTAGGTGAGTTCGGTTGGGTTGGGTTGGTTTGATTGGGTTATATTTTGTTTGTATTTTATTTGATTTTTGATTTGACTTCTAATATCAACCTCGGCATCGAGTTTTGAATCGATTTCTAATAAAAGGTGACGATTAAATGATTAGATTTTTAAAATGATTAAATTTGTAATATGATTGCTTGATAGATAGATAGATATAGATTGTTTGATTGATTTATTGATTGATTGATTGATTAATTGATTGATTGTTTAGAAACCTTGTGAGCTACCTGAAGCAGAAGGAGGCAGCTGGAGTAATTACTCTGCAGTCCCAGCACTCTGAGCAGACAGGGGTTCTGTATGCTTTCCCACCTTGCGAGTTCAGGTACTATTCATTCTTCTTGTCATTCATTCTTAAATTCATTTATTCATTCTTTCATTCATCCTTTCATTCTTTCAGTCACTTATTCATTCATTTCATTCATATATTCATATTTTCATTCTTTTATTCATTCTTTCCATTCATTTTTTCATCCTCTCATTTATCAGCATTCTTTTATCATCATTCTTTTCTTTTGAGTGATCAGTCATTTTTTAAATTCTTATCTATGTTTAAACTGTTAATTTAAAAAAGGAAATCAGTTGAAATATTTTCAGACTATGTCTGTCAACAATATCTTTAATGCTTTGTTTATCTAGCTTTCATCCATGACAGATGAATATTAAACAAGACTTGTACCCTGTCGCCTAGCACATAAATTGGAAATTAAATCTTTGTTTTATTGAAAAGACCGTAATTTGTAATTTGAGTAGTTTGAACGAACTGTAATCTTAATCTGATCAAAAAATTTAAAGCTACTGTCACTTTCTGAATACAAAAGTGTTTAATTCCAAAAAATTCTCATTACTTTTAAACAAGAAATGTGCAAGTCATATTCGTTAAGAAACCGCAAATGAAAATGAACAGTTGAAAGAATCTAAAACATGAATATCTAGTTCATACTTGATTAGACAAAGGTATCAAGAGTACCTTTGTGAATCTAAGATGTCCTTTTTTCACTTGAAACGACGGTATAACGTGAGTTTAAATATTATTTTGTTTCAGTATGGGACTGTTACGACGTGAGTCTCCCGGTTTATCAGACGAGGGCAGCAAAGACGATCATCTCGTAGTTGTCGTTGTCCGTGGTGGGTGATGGGATGGGGGCCTTGATCAGGGTTTCCAGAAGGTGCTGGAACAGCCCTGCCAGGGCTCCTTACATGGACACACTGAGAGGGGGAGGATGCTGCCCCCGCCACATTGCAATGTTGTGCCCCCTTCTCAGTTAGAGTTAAAAATATCTCGGTTAACTCTCTGATCAAATCAAATCGAATTCACCTTAAAATTATTTTTTAAACTTGTTTTCAGCGTTTTCTTAAGGGCATGACATAATCCTTTAGAAAGACAATTAATGGATCTTTCCATTTTAAAAAGTTTGGCGGTTTTTGACCTGATCAAATGGCGGATTTCTTCCATGTCGTCTTTTCCCGCCATATTTTTGTCAAATCCCGCATTAATTGTGTATACTGTACGAAATCTCCCATCATTATATAATATTCTTTCTGTACAAATAATAAATCTGGAGCTCTCTAATATAACCTTTTATTGTTTGTGTGAATGTCTGTTTGTGCAGTGTCCCATGGAAATTAAGAGAAAGTGAAATTGAAAATTGCCTTCTTTTTCTGATAGTTTATAAATGACTAAAAGTGTACAAAATAAAGACTGAACGTCCTATAATGAGCTTTTGAAAATGTGGCCTGTTTTTATTGTATCTTCAAAATTTACTGAGGAATTGATTTTTGTACAAGTTAAAAGATTTCGATGGTTAACAAAAAAAGAATCGGGACAGATCTCTTTATATCTCTGTCAATTTTGAAGGTGCAAATGTAGTAAACCACATTTTTGAATTCTCAAGACTAGAAGTTCAAATTATTAACTGTTCACGCGCGGATGAATGACGATATAAAAGTTGTCACTTAATTCCCATGTTTATTGGGACAGGGTATGAAATGTTAATCGCCGTGAACGCAGTTTTAGAAAAAAACGATATAATTTCCAAGATTTTGTTAGAGTTTAGTTTTACAATATATTAATACTAAAAAACAAATTGGAAAAATTATCAATTCAACACGTCATTTTTTTATCGTATTTGCAGATAAAAAAGCCTTTTAAAATTATGGTGACAATACGGCAATAATAAAAAACGGTTTTTCAAACAGTTTAAAAATTTGTAAAAAATTAATATGCATAGTAGAAAGCATATCTATCAGTGGGAAGGATGAGAATTTTGAGGTGGCTCGGACGAGAAAATGAGGACGATGTGGCTCGGACAAGAAATTGTTGTGGTTGGCCTTCCTCCCTCCGGTGAAGTATCTTGGCAGGCTTAATAAACACCAAGTGGTCTAATAATAGCATTGCACAAGTTTAAAAAAAAACTAGGCCATTATCAATTTTTAATTTTAAGTATTTTCTCTTCGTATACATTATTTAACAAATAACGGATTTTTTTCGTGGATTTTCAAAATTTACTTAAATAAACAAAGTTTGGAGGCACATTTTTAAAATTACGAAAATCAAAACTTTTAGGGCACATTTGTGAAATTCGAATAATCTACATCGTGTATAACTAAAAGGAGGCCCGATCGGTTCAGCCATTTTGACGTTTAATGGACACAGTAAATTTGTATATGTATATATAAATGTAAAAGATTTTTTTTACATGGCATGACAAACATATTTTTCTAGATGAGCAGGATCCGCCAAACCTGAAATGGTTGTTAGATAATTTCAAAAGGTTGAGCCTAAAAGAGGTTATGTTTTGATAGAAGATGTATGCGTATTTTCTTTAAAGGGACTTATCTTTGAAAGTTGATCATTTTCAATAATGGTTTCTCAAAGCAGTTAGGAGAAAATAAGACACTTCCCGCTAGTTACAGAAACGACGATATCTTCCACATTGTTGGTCAGATAAAGAGTTGTGCTGCCCCTCTTCATGCTTTAAAACAACATCAAATACACAGGATTGTTTAAATGTCGTCTTCATATTCAACAGTTGTATAAGGATGGGAAAATTAACGATCATGATTTATTAGCGACACTCCATTAGATAAAGCAGGGCATGACCGATTTACCACGGTACCCTACAAACATTTCTCTGATCATCGACGGAAGAGCAACGAGGTTATAGTGTATAGAGTGATGATGTACGCTGATTTTACTAATTGTACAGGCCATAAACTAGACCGATAGCGTGCTGAATATTTGTTTATTATAAGGAGATTCTGGTCTAACCTTTAGTACAGGGTGTCCCAAAAAACATGGGAATTTAGTGACGAAATGGATATCGTCTTTGTTATGAATTAGCATTGTAATACCTAATTTCAAAAGCCATGTCTGCTCGAGTTTATTTTATGAAAAGGTAAAAGACTGTAAAGATGTGTCTATAATGTCTCCGCAAGATGAACAGTGAATTGACGGACTTAAGTTTACTCTGTTTCTGTACTGCAATTTTCTTGTTTTACTAAGTACAACCGTATGCAGTCAAAACATAAACAAGCTAAATGTGAACATAGCAGACGAAACTCTTACAGATTACAGCTTTCGCAGTAGGTATCACTATACTAAATTAAAGAATTATCTAAAAAGACGATATCTAATTCGTCACTGAATTCCCATGTTTATTGGGACACCCTGTATATCAATATTAGTAAACAGTTGTAAGTTTACAGTACAGCCAACTGAGCACACAGGTAGAGAACTATCATCCCCCCTGCGGGAGAGTGATCCGTTTTTTAACTGACATTACATATTTCGTTATTTTCGTAAATAAACGATTGTTTTTCCAGTTCTTTCGAAAAAATCTTTTATTTTCATTCGTTCGGTGCAAAATAAATTTTTTTTTTCAAGTTTGTTCGAACGACAGATTTTGAAAACGGTTTGAACAGGGATACAGACCCCCAATATATGCTGAGAAATGGCGAAGACTTTGCAATTCCACGATTACAGTACCATGAAGTGTACTGTCCGTTTGTGATTAAATCGGATATGTGCCTTGAAAGTAAATATGTTCCAGTAAGTGTACTGTCTGTTTGTGATTGAATCGGATATGTACATTGAAAGTACATATATTCCATTAAGTGTACTCTCTGTTTGTGATTAAATCGAATATGTGCCTTGAAAGTACATATGTTCCATTAAGTGTACTGTCTGTTTGTGATTGATATGTGCCTTGAAAGTACATATGTTCCAGTAAGTGTACTGTCTGTTTGTGATTGAATCGGATATGTGCCTTGAAAGTACATATGTTCCGGTGTACTTTCTGTTTGTGATTGAGTCGGATATGTGCCTTGAAAGTAAATATGTTCCAGTAAGTGTACTGTCTGTTTGTGATTAAATCGGATATGTACATTGAAAGTACATATATTCCATTAAGTGTACTCTCTGTTTGTGATTAAATCGAATATGTGCCTTGAAAGTACATATGTTCCATTAAGTGTACTGTCTGTTTGTGATTGAGTCGGATATGTCCCTTGAAAGTACATGTGTTCCATTAAGTGTAATGTCTGTTTGTGATTGAGTCGGATATGTCCCTTGAAAGTACATATGTTCCAGTAAGTGTACTGTCTGTTTGTGATTGAATCGGATATGTGCCTTGAAAGTACATATGTTCCGGTGTACTTTCTGTTTGTGATTGAGTCGGATATGTGCCTTGAAAGTACATATGTTCCAGTAAGTGTACTGTCTGTTTGTGATTAAATCGGATATGTACCTTGAAAGTACATATATTCCATTAAGTGTACTCTCTGTTTGTGATTAAATCGTATATGTCCCTTGAAAGTAAATATGTTCCATTAAGTGTACTGTCTGTTTGTGATTGAGTCGGATATGTCCCTTGAAAGTACATGTGTTCCATTAAGTGTAATGTCTGTTTGTGATTGAGTCGGATATGTCCCTTGAAAGTACATGTGTTCCATTAAGTGTACTGTCTGTTTGTGATTAAATCGGATATGTCCCTTGAAAGTACATATGTTCCATTAAGTGTACTGTCTGTTTGTGATTGAGTCGGACATGTCCCTTGAAAGTACATATGTTCCATTAAGTGTGCTGTCTGTTTGTGATTAATCTGATATGTTCTTGAAAATACACATGTTCCATTAAGAATATGTTTGTATGATTAGTGGGATATTAAAAGAAATAATAAATAAGATAAGGTGTTAACTGTACAAGGTAAAGTCATAACCAATAAAAAGTGGAATACAAGGCGTATTTATTTATTTATTTGTTTTGTTTTTAGTTTAAAACGTTTAAGGTTTTGGTATTTTTAAAAAATTCTTGTTCAGGGTGTCCCAATAAGTGATGGACCAAACCTCTGTAGAGTAAAAAAGTAGATGTTAGTTCCACATTTATTGAAAATATATTTCGGTCTGGGTTGACCCTCGTCAGTTCTTGAGATTGTTTCTGTCACAAAGGTTAAAAACAAACATTTTTTTCTTTCTATGTCTCATATAAGTAAAAAATCTGAACAAGTTAAAAAATATTTGCCAAGATGGGTTAGATCAAATATTTCTAATAAAAAAACTATAGCTGTGAAATATACCGATTGATTTCCTAAAAGAAATCATTTAAAATAATTCTTGTTGACTGGGCAAAGTTCTTATGGACTATGGAGAAACTGTAGGTTTTTTTTTTTGTTTAATGCTAATTCTAATTTTTTATTGCTCAAGCCCTAGAAATAAATATTGCTATTTCAAAATTTTTCCTTTTAAAAAAATTCAGACCAACAGCTTATTTTAAAATGGTTTTCACGAAAATCTGCTATTTTTCATATTTAATGAACAAATTAAGATAAAATTTGAAAAAATTAAATCTGAAAAATCCAGGAAATCGAATTTCGACTTGTAAACTGGGTATATGAACTCCTATATTTAGGAAGTGCAATGTTGAAGTGGGTATATAAAGTCCTTTATTTAGGAAGTGCAATGTTGAAGTGATAAAGGTCCTATATTTAGGAAGTGTAATGATGAAGTGTGTACATAGATGTACTAATGTTCAGATGTACTCAAAGAGGGGACTGTAACACAAAAAGTATGAGGCAAAGGAAGACCAAGTTAATATAGCTGAAATATGAGCTTTGAAGCTTTGAATGTGAAAATTAAAAAAAAGTGTTTACGCATAACCCAATAACCTCTCTGCAATTTTTTTTGGAGTCCCTGTACATTTAAATATTTATACATTTATGCATTGATCATTTTATATCTTATTATATACTTTGCTTGTCTGTATATATGTAAATATAAAAATATATATTATTGTATAAATGTAAAAAATAAATATATGAGTACATATTTGTAAAAATGTATGAATGTAATATGTATATGTATTAATGTTTAGGTTTCAGTATCCAAAGCACTGCAGATACTAGAGAGTAGAGTGGTGTTGATAGATAGATCGATAGATAGATAGATAGATAGATAGATAGATAGATAGATAGATAGATAGATAGATAGATAGATAGATATTGATAGATAGATCGATAGATAGATAGATAGATAGATAGATAGATAGATAGATAGATAGATAGATAGATAGATAGA